TGAGTATGGATGAGTGAGCTGGTAGGAGGATTGGAGTGATGACCTTTCTGGAGGTGTAATTGACCCAATTTAATGAGTACTTTAGAATGGGTCACTCAACAACCCGAATAATCTGACATTCAAGAAAAACCCACTTGGGTACAGGCAGAACAATGATTCATAACAGAGATATGTAATGTATCTCTAATTTACTATGTTTGGTGCTCTGGAGTTTACAAACCTGCACTATTCATTCTTCTCTCATATTGAGCATGGGATTGGCATTATAGTGTAACATCAAACTTATGTTTGCTCCAAAGAAATCAAGGTTAGTATTTACTCTACTAACTGTGTCTACTTACTATGTACAATTTCAGCTTCACCTTATATATTACAGGACAAAAAGAAGACAAACAGCAGTGTGACCATTAGCAAAATTACAGCAAAATATATTTAAATTCAGTCAGGAGGTCAAAATAACCATTTCTCTTCTCTGTTGGGTCTGAATATAGTGGAGGGGGGTGGAATAATATTGGTAGAAACACACACACACACACACACACACACACACATGCACACACGCACACACGCACACAAACACACAAACACAAAAATTCATCAGAGCAATAGAAAGCTCATACTGAGTGAATTATTGCTCCAGATGTAACGCTGATGTAACGTGATGCAACACTGGCGGCAGACAGAAACCAAAATGCAAAACACACAATGAAAATGGTGAAAAGTCTTGAAGGATTTTCAAAATCTGGTATGGAATCACCTGTTTCTCCATTTCTTATTTATTTGAGTTCTTCTCATTGGGGAATCTCCTGGAGATATCTTTACATTCTTCATGTCATTCCTTTTTGAGGAGGTGACATCTTTGCATATTGGTCGTGATGTACAGTAAGCAAGTGCATGGCAGACTGTTAATGAAGTGCATTGAAAATAAGACATCTGAGGATGAACTCAACGAGTAGTGACTTACTAGTGAAAGAAACACGGTCTGCTCCTTAGTCAGAAGTGATTAGCCACTTGTTGACGGACTGCAGCCTGACCTGTAAATTCTGATTTAAATCTAATTCAGGCCGCACTGATTTCAGGAGATGAACGAGACTCTTACAAACGAGCTACAGTTTGAGATAATATCTTCCCCCACCAGAGAAGTTCACGTTTCCAACTGGAAATATGCACACGACACAACAATATGTGACAAACCGACCCCATGCCTTCATGTATATTAGCTAACAACTACAATAGTTTCTGCTGCTGACCCAAACCAAACAACCCGTGAGGCTGAAAGACTCAGCAGCCCGAAACCAATAATAAGGGTAATGAGTCAATGCAGCTTGAGATCATTAAAATGAACAGTGCTACCATCTGAATGAGCCTCAGGCACCATGTTTACTGATTTATGATTAAATCTGTGCATTGTATATTAGATCATTTAATTGTCAATTATGATAGAACTTTGTAATGAGATTTCACAATTATCCGACGCTTTTCCCCCCATGGGGCCAAAGCTATTGAGTCAAAAAGACTGTGGTTCACTGATGTGTTTTGTTGGAATAAAGCAAGCTTTTAATTGATTTTTCCTCCAGCAAGATCAAATCATTTCTGAAGAAACTGATAGAAAGAAACCTTTGTATTTAATGTATCATATCATCAACCTTGCTGTGAGTGTTATCAACATTTCTCCACAGTTCGGTCAATTGAGGATCTTTGCAGCTTTTATAAACCATTTGAAATGAAGGAAATGGCTTATGTCAACCAACAATTCTACCAAACCCAAATCATGTTCCATGGATTAGACGATAAAGGAATCCTTGCCTGGTACAAACTTTAAACGTTACATTGAGCCGAACGCACCACAAAGACCTCCCATCAAACAAAATCTTGATTCTACGCATGGTCAGGAACAGTGAAAAGAGGAATTTAGTTTTTGTGTATTTTGTGATGGAGGCTGTCACTGCACGTTTACTGTTTTGAGAGACTCCTCCTGTAACTCTAAGCCCTTCGGCTTGGAAAGGTTGCTGGCTTTGGTGTATCTTCTGAATCCAGCAGCTTGGGTCAAGAGTTCTACAAATGGTGGGTCTCACACTGAGCTAGCAAATGAACATTTGCAATAAAGCTATTGTGATGCTCTCAGCTGTGTTTTTTGATGTAAAAATAGGTTTCAGTAGGTTTCACTGGTGCTGTAGAGAAATACAGGGAGAAAAGGAAAAAAAGAAACAGACAGTTGAAGCAACTCAACATAACAATCCTAAAGGGCATATAATGGTGTGTAAATGTACCCATTATATCATGTCTTCAAAAATGACTTGAAATGACAAAAACTAGAAATACACTACAACATATTACTAGTTTCTGCTAACAATCCACCAATGCAATGCTCCACATTCTAAAGATTCTAGATTGTAGCGAAAATAATCACAGTTGTCGGAGTTGACTGGGAGTAATTAAAGCGACCAATGTATTAGTGCGTTGTTAACAATATACAAAAAGAAAGACAAAGAGCGTTGAGGGTCTTTAAGCTGATGCTTCTTGGATAGGTTCTCTGTATTCATGGAATGCAGTCTCGTTCCCCCCCTCAGCATATGCAGCTAGAGAAGGGGAGAAGAAGGCACGGTGATGCAGACTAGCATAGTATAAAGGCATCATGGATCATCAGCTCCCATCGCTGCTGGGCCTTGTGCTTTTCTCCTAGCGCAATTCAAAGCATTCACTAACTTTATGAAAAGGACCATGGATTACAGCCCCCTGGTGCCCACTGCACTATGAAATGTAGTAAATGCTGACGAGTGAATGCCGTGAGGGCTTTCTCTTCAAATACCCATTGGCCTCAGCTCCTCTTGCGTTATGCCTCAGTTCACCGAGAGCCCCGAGAGCCTTACAAACTGTGACACAGTGACACAGAGATGACAAAAGATGTGTTTCTGTAGTAAAGATGAACATTGTTAAGGAGGGTTGACATTGTCCAAATGTTGTTTTTCCAGGAGTGGCCCATCTATTTTTGATACATACAGTAGCTGTCAGCTTTTTAGACGATATCACCCAAAATCACAGGGCATGTACAGTTTACATTGCTGAAAATATTGGAAAGAATAAAGCCAGGGGAGCAAGACACACAGTAGAACACCCAGACATCCCACATTTCATTTCATTACAGGTCATTTAGCTGACGCTTTTATCCAAAGCGACTTACATTACATTTTAAACCCATGGCTCCAAACCTCCAACCTTGCACTTCCCAGCACACCCGCTCTACCCTCTGCGCCACGACGACGACCCACATTTCAGAGGTAACTGTTTCCAATAGCAGTGGTTGCTACTACAGACGGGCTGGGTGAACGGGAAAGATGGGGCGGAACCTTCTCCCTTTCGACCTCCTTCAAGGATGTGACTGACCTTGAACCGGCCAAACTTACAAATGCTGGGCTTCTGAAATTGAAGGAAGGCAAGAGAAAAAGCCCCTGTGAGTGCCAATAAAACACAAACAAAAGCCATGCCTGTAAAGCCTTTCAGTCTTATTTCGATAACCTTCACAGATCACAAGTTTTTCTGTAATAAAATGTCATCATGAATATCATAATATGGCAGGCTAGTGTGCCGGTACACCATGAAACAATAATACTACAGGTACAGAAGTACACACTTCTGATGAGCAAAATGTTCCACATCTCTACAAACAGAGTAGGTGAAACCACGTAATTTATCCTCAAAATAAGTTTGTAAATGATCTTATTATTTTTGGGCATCCAAAACCGTGCCTCTGACCGATGCTCAATGAAAATGACTTTCAGTGTGTCTGAATTACATCACTTTCAATTCAGTTGAGCCGCAGAAAAAATCCGGCGCCATTCATCTCCGCGTGAGAAATAAGCTATAGGTCATTACGCAGCTGCACCTTCTAACTGTGCTTTTCCCAATGGGAACACAGGACGAAATGGTTCAGAATCCTCCTGCTTGGTTGTCATGGAACGTCTCGCTATGTCTCCACAGCCCACGGCTTACTTCCCCCTTTCTCTGTCTTCTGATCACTCTGACTTTCTCTCTCCCTGCCTTCCATTTCCCTTTTGCTCTTTTCTCTCCTTTGCCAAGATAAATAGGAGGTATTTAACTCTGATGGGAGAACATAATGTCTCCTGCTTAGTAAAAACGACATTTGTCAGTGCCACAGGGCTTTCTGCACTGGGTAATTATGCGCCTTTGTCTGGCCAGGAGATATTCCCGCAGCAGACAAGGAAGCAAAGTCTGTGGGAGGGGGAAATTTTGTGCCATGTGGAAATGAAAAGAATGTTTGTCACATACGGTGGCCTGCAATATTAATTGTGCTATTAGCAGAAGCAACCATTTGCATGTGATTTTGATCTTGCTGATTCATAACGTCATTTTTGTTTGTGACTACGATAACTTAACGATGGCAATACTTTACCTTACTTATGGGTTGTGATCTCCTTATGGCACTGTATTATGGATGGTGGCATCCGAATGCCATTTCACAATCAATACAGAAGCATATTACTTGACATGGTCTTCATAAAAATATTTAAATGTTTCCAACCATTTTAAAATGAGTTAAGCCTCAAATAGATATAACGGACTTGAGGGACTGCACTGGCTCTGGGTTAAACACAACTTTAGCTACAAGGCAAGCGATTTTGTTAAGGGGCTTTCAGTACCATACTAGCCTACTAGACCAAAACACTCCATAAAGGTCTGAACGCAGCATGGGAAGCTTTTGCGTTTAAGTGCATATTCTCTGAAACCAGCTCCCACTTTCAACCTGGTGTGGGCGCCACAAAGTGCCCTCATTGAAGACTACCGTGAACACTGCTTTGATAACTTCTATTTAGAGCTGGCTCAGGCAGGCCCTTAGATGAGCTGCTATAGGTCTAGACATCCTGGGACACAACTTTTATACAATTTCAGGTCCCTAGAGTCAGTGCTTGCCTCACAGGTGTCTATGGATCATGGTTAAATATCCATTTTTGACCACAACCCCAGAGAATTGACACAACAAGTTAAGGCAATAGTTTTATTGAAAGCAGAGATAAGTAGGTACAAGCAAAAACATCTTAACTAATGCACTGTCCCAAAAACTGTTTCTAGGCGACGAGGTCCGAGGTGCCCGTGTAGCCGTCGGTCAGAGTTAAGTTGCCGTCGTCGCCCAGGGTGCCATTGCCAGTGTAGATGTCGGCCAAAGTTACATTGTGGTCGTCGCCCAGGGTGCCGTTGCCTGAGTAGCCATCTGCCAAAGTACCATTGCTGCCATTGTCGGCCAGGGTGCCATCGTCGGCCAGGGTGCCGTTGCGGGTGTAGACGTCGCCCAGGGTGTCATTGCCATCTGCCAAAGTTCCGTTGCCCGTGTCGACGTCGGCCAGGTTGCCGTTGCCCGTGTAGCCGTCAGCCAAAGTTCCATTGCTGCCGTCGTCGCCCAGGGTGCCGTTGCCAGTGTAGACGTCAGCAAAAGTCACATTGCCGTCGTCGCCCAGGGTGCCGTTGCCTGAGTAGCCATCTGCCAAAGTACCATTGCTGCCATTGTCGGCCAGGGTGCCATCGTCGGCCAGGGTGCCGTTGCGGGTGTAGACGTCGCCCAGGGTGTCATTGCCATCTGCCAAAGTTCCGTTGCCCGTGTCGACGTCGGCCAGGTTGCCGTTGCCCGTGTAGCCGTCAGCCAAAGTTCCATTGCTGCCGTCGTCGCCCAGGGTGCCGTTGCCAGTGTAGACGTCAGCCAAAGTTCCATTGCTGCCGTCGTCGCCCAGGGTGCCGTTGCCTGTGTAGCCGCCAGGCAAAGTCACGTTGCAGTCGTCGCCCAGGGTGCCGTTGCCATCTGCCAAAGTTCCGTTGCCCGTCTCGACGTCGGCCAGGGTGCCGTTGCCAGTGTAGACGTCAGCAAAAGTCACGTTGCCGTCGTCGCCCAGGGTGCCGTTGCCATCTGCCAAAGTTCCGTTGCCCGTGTCGACGTCGGCCAGGTTGCCGTTGCCCGTGTAGCCGTCAGCAAAAGTCACGTTGCCGTCGTCGCCCAGGGTGCCGTTGCCCGTGTAGCCGTCAGCCAAAGTTCCGTTTCCCGTGTAGACGTCAGCTAGGGTCACGTTGCCGTCGTCGCTCAGGGTGCCGTTGCCTGCGTCGGCATCTGCCAAAGTTCCATTGCTGCCGTCGTCGCCCAGGGTGCCGTTGCCCGCGTAGACGTCAGCCAAAGTCTCGTTGCCGTCGTCGCCCAGGGTGCCGTTGCCCGCGTAGACGCCAGCCAAAGTACCATTGCTGCCATCGTCGCCCAGGGTGCCGTTGCGGGTGTAGACGTCGGACAGGGTGTCGTTGCCATCTGCCAAAGTTCCGTTGCCCGTGTCGACGTCGGCCAGGGTGCCGTTGCCAGTGTAGACGTCAGCCAAAGTCACGTTGCAGTCGTCGCCCAGGGTGCCGTTGCCCGTGTAGCCGTCAGCCAAAGTTCCATTGCTGCCGTCGTCGCCCAGGGTGCCGTTGCCCGTGTAGCCGTCAGCCAAAGTTCCGTTGCCCGTGTAGTCAGCTAGGGTCACGTTGCCGTCGTCGCTCAGGGTGCCGTTGCCTGCGTCGGCATCTGCCAAAGTTCCATTGCTGCCGTCGTCGCCCAGGGTGCCGTTGCCCGCGTAGACGTCAGCCAAAGTCTCGTTGCCGTCGTCGCCCAGGGTGCCGTTGCCCGCGTAGACGTCAGCCAAAGTACCATTGCTGCCATCGTCGCCCAGGGTGCCGTTGCGGGTGTAGACGTCGGACAGGGTGCCGTTGCGGGTGTAGACGTCGGACAGGGTGCCGTTGCCATCTGCCAAAGTTCCGTTGCCCGTGTCGACGTCGGCCAGGGTGCCGTTGCCCGCGTAGACGTCAGCCAAAGTACCATTGCTGCCATCGTCGCCCAGGGTGCCGTTGCCCGTCTCGACGTCGGCCAGGGTGCCGTTGCCAGTGTAGACGTCAGCAAAAGTCACGTTGCCGTCGTCGCCCAGGGTGCCGTTGCCCGTGTAGCCATCAGCCAAAGTTCCATTGCTGCCGTCGTCGCCCAGGGTGCCGTTGCCCGTGTAGCCGTCAGCCAAAGTCACGTTTCCGTCGTCGCCCAGGGTGTCGTTGCCATCTGCCAAAGTTCCGTTGCCCGTCTCGACGTCGGCCAGGGTGCCGTTGCCAGTGTAGACGTCAGCAAAAGTCACGTTGCCGTCGTCGCCCAGGGTGCCGTTGCCCGTGTAGCCGTCAGCCAAAGTTCCGTTTCCCGTGTAGACGTCAGCTAGGGTCACGTTGCCGTCGTCGCTCAGGGTGCCGTTGCCTGCGTCGGCATCTGCCAAAGTTCCATTGCTGCCGTCGTCGCCCAGGGTGCCGTTGCCCGCGTAGACGCCAGCCAAAGTACCATTGCTGCCATCGTCGCCCAGGGTGCCGTTGCGGGTGTAGACGTCGGACAGGGTGTCGTTGCCATCTGCCAAAGTTCCGTTGCCCGTGTCGACGTCGGCCAGGGTGCCGTTGCCAGTGTAGACGTCAGCCAAAGTCACGTTGCAGTCGTCGCCCAGGGTGCCGTTGCCCGTGTAGCCGTCAGCCAAAGTTCCATTGCTGCCGTCGTCGCCCAGGGTGCCGTTGCCCGTGTAGCCGTCAGCCAAAGTTCCGTTGCCCGTGTAGTCAGCTAGGGTCACGTTGCCGTCGTCGCTCAGGGTGCCGTTGCCTGCGTCGGCATCTGCCAAAGTTCCATTGCTGCCGTCGTCGCCCAGGGTGCCGTTGCCCGCGTAGACGTCAGCCAAAGTCTCGTTGCCGTCGTCGCCCAGGGTGCCGTTGCCCGCGTAGACGTCAGCCAAAGTACCATTGCTGCCATCGTCGCCCAGGGTGCCGTTGCGGGTGTAGACGTCGGACAGGGTGCCGTTGCGGGTGTAGACGTCGGACAGGGTGTCGTTGCCATCTGCCAAAGTTCCGTTGCCCGTGTCGACGTCGGCCAGGGTGCCGTTGCCCGCGTAGACGTCAGCCAAAGTACCATTGCTGCCATCGTCGCCCAGGGTGCCGTTGCGGGTGTAGACGTCGGACAGGGTGTCGTTGCCATCTGCCAAAGTTCCGTTGCCCGTGTCGACGTCGGCCAGGGTGCCGTTGCCATCTGCCAAAGTTCCGTTGCCCGTCTCGACGTCGGCCAGGGTGCCGTTGCCAGTGTAGACGTCGGCAAAAGTCACGTTGCCGTCGTCGCCCAGGGTGCCGTTGCCCGTGTAGCCGTCAGCCAAAGTTCCATTGCTGCCGTCGTCGCCCAGGGTGCCGTTGCCATCTGCCAAAGTTCCGTTGCCCGTCTCGACGTCGGCCAGGGTGCCGTTGCCAGTGTAGACGTCGGCAAAAGTCACGTTGCAGTCGTCGCCCAGGGTGCCGTTGCCCGTGTAGCCGTCAGCCAAAGTTCCGTTGCCCGTGTAGACGTCAGCTAGGGTCACGTTGCCGTCGTCGCTCAGGGTGCCGTTGCCTGCGTCGGCATCTGCCAAAGTTCCATTGCTGCCGTCGTCCAGGGTGCCGTTGCGGGTGTCGTCGCCCAGGGTGCCGTTGCCCGCGTAGACGTCAGCCAAAGTCTCGTTGCAGTCGTCGCCCAGGGTGCCGTTGCCTGCGTAGCCATCTGCCAAAGTACCATTGCTGCCATCGTCGCCCAGGGTGCCGTTGCGGGTGTAGACGTCGGACAGGGTGCCGTTGCCATCTGCCAAAGTTCCGTTGCCCGTGTCGACGTCGCCCAGGTTGCCGTTGCCCGTGTAGCCGTCAGCCAAAGTTCCATTGCTGCCGTCGTCGCCCAGGGTGCCGTTGCCATCTGCCAAAGTTCCGTTGCCCGTCTCGACGTCGGCCAGGGTACCGTTGCCAGTGTAGACGTCAGCAAAAGTCACGTTGCCGTCGTCGCCCAGGGTGCCGTTGCCCGTGTAGCCATCAGCCAAAGTTCCATTGCTGCCGTCGTCGCCCAGGGTGCCGTTGCCCGTGTAGCCGTCAGCCAAAGTCACGTTTCCGTCGTCGCCCAGGGTGTCGTTGCCATCTGCCAAAGTTCCGTTGCCCGTCTCGACGTCGGCCAGGGTGCCGTTGCCAGTGTAGACGTCAGCAAAAGTCACGTTGCCGTCGTCGCCCAGGGTGCCGTTGCCCGTGTAGCCGTCAGCCAAAGTTCCATTGCTGCCGTCGTCACCCAGGGTGCCGTTGCCCGTGTCGGCATCTGCCAAAGTTCCATTGCTGCCGTCGTCGCCCAGGGTGCCGTTGCCCGCGTAGACGTCAGCCAAAGTCTCGTTGCCGTCGTCGCCCAGGGTGCCGTTGCCCGCGTAGACGTCAGCCAAAGTACCATTGCTGCCATCGTCGCCCAGGGTGCCGTTGCGGGTGTAGACGTCGGACAGGGTGCCGTTGCGGGTGTAGACGTCGGACAGGGTGTCGTTGCCATCTGCCAAAGGTACCGTTGCCCGTGTCGACGTCGGCCAGGGTGCCGTTGCCCGCGTAGACGTCAGCCAAAGTACCATTGCTGCCATCGTCGCCCAGGGTGCCGTTGCGGGTAGATTCGTCGGACAGGGTGTCGTTGCCATCTGCCAAAGTTCCGTTGCCCGTGTCGTCGTCGGCCAGGGTGCCGTTGCCAGTGTAGACGTCAGCAAAAGTCACGTTGCCGTCGTCGCCCAGGGTGCCGTTGCCATCTGCCAAAGTTCCGTTGCCCGTCTCGACGTCGGCCAGGGTGCCGTTGCCCGTGTAGCCGTCAGCCAAAGTTCCGTTGCCCGTGTAGTCAGCTAGGGTCACGTTGCCGTCGTCGCTCAGGGTGCCGTTGCCTGCGTCGGCATCTGCCAAAGTTCCATTGCTGCCGTCGTCGCCCAGGGTGCCGTTGCCCGCGTAGACGTCAGCCAAAGTCTCGTTGCCGTCGTCGCCCAGGGTGCCGTTGCCCGCGTAGACGTCAGCCAAAGTACCATTGCTGCCATCGTCGCCCAGGGTGCCGTTGCGGGTGTAGACGTCGGACAGGGTGTCGTTGCCATCTGCCAAAGTTCCGTTGCCCGTGCTGCGATCGTCGGCCAGGGTGCCGTTGTCAGTGTAGATGTCGTCCAACGTTACGTTGTGGGTGCCGTCGTCGCCCAGGGTGCCGTTGACCTTGTAGACGTCAGCCAAAGTCACGTTGCCGTCGTCGCCCAGGGTGCTGTTGCCCGTGTAGACATCAGCCAAAGTCACGTTGCCGTCGTCGCCCAGGGTGCTGTTGCCTGCGTAGGCGTCTGCCAGAGTTCCCTTGCTGCCATCGTCGCCCAGGGTGCCGTCGCGGGTGCCGTCGTCGCCCAGGGTGCTGTTGCAGCCTATGTAATGTGAGCTGTTGGCGCTGATGAGAAGTCCGTCGTTTTGCGCATATTCAACTTTTAGGTGGACAGCTGATGCCTTAATTTCCACCTCATTGGTTTCAGTTTGACTGAAGTAAAAGACAAGATTAAAAAAGGAAATCAAAATACCAAAAGCCAGTCAAAGCCTCAATGAAATATGGACCTCAAGAACCTGAGCCGTACACAAACATGAATCAAATAGGGTTAAGCAGAACTTACCTTCTTTTGACTTCCGCAGGAACACAGACTCAGACTGGTGAAGCGTAAGGGCCTTCTTTATGGAGGGCTCATTAGGAGACAGCTCTATTAGTAATAAAATAATGTCAGTGTCAAGTAGAAGCTAATCAAATATTTATTCACCCAATATTCTTACCTCTCATTGCCCTTTGCGGCCCATTACCATTCACATTTGTGCCACCAACTGGCCAACCAGAGCCTATGAATAGAGCAGTTGCATATAATCAAAGGTTTCTTCATCATCATTACATTTACTATACTCCAATGCAGATTCATTGAATAGATGTTTCCAAAACAGACAGAAATACCTTTGGTGAACCAGACAGTCAGCACAAAAACAAGCAAGGCCCAAAACCCTCCCATTACTTCAGCCACCAACAGAAAATACGATCTGAGCCACACGGCAGGTTTCATATACCCATCCTGCAGGTGTCACAGGTGTTGCTGATCAGCTATAATCAGCTCTTCAGGAATCAGTGCTCGTTAAGATCTTTTGACAAACATTTGACATTCTATCTGTTTATAAACTTGTATTCATCAGTTTTATGACTTAAAGATCAAGAAATGTGGAAAATGAAAAATGGTTTAACAAATACACCTCCCATGAGGGATTTGTTTTTTCCTTCCCTCGCACGGCAGTTCAGCACTGACACATGTGCAAATAAGTTGTGTATGCGCACACCAGTGGACAGAGAGCACCAGTCCGCACCTACTAACGCCCCCACCCCCTGAAGTTGTAAACCTAAGGGGAAACACTGTATTGTCCTTCCACCTGATGATTAGGTAGCCATATTTTTGCAGCCATGATCTGTATTTGAACCAAGGAGAAGGATGCGTTTCCCTCTCCTTGTACATAGTAAACACAATTCCATTAGCTAACGAATGAATCTCAAAAAAGACAGGCAAAAGACTGAATATCCCTTGGTATGGTCTCGGTTGTTTAAACAAGTTCGAATTAGTGGACATTGCTTTTCTGAAAATGTTATATGACCTGCGCACTGCAGTCTATATTGCCCCAAAAAACTTCTAAAAGTTACTCTAGAAATTTTGGAAATCTGTATTCCATAAATAGCAACCTCAGCGGGGTTCTCGTAAGGCTGCAGCAGAGTGCTCTCCTTGTAATCAGGAGTCGACTGATGGGATCGGTTCACTGATGACGAGGCCTGGAAGAAGTGCCTGGTAGGAAATAAAGTGCTCACCTGCTTTGAGTTGTTCACTCCGTCGTCCCACAACAATGTCACTACCTACAACTCACAATCAGTTTCAGCCTGTCAAAAAAAAACAAGAGGACATTGTATCCTGTGCCAGAACAAAAAGACAACCAGTCCAGTTCCCATCAGTGCACATAAAACTACATATTAGGGTTACAAAAGATAACCTGTGGTACATTTCAAACAGATTTACCAGATTGTGACCTGACAACTGGGGGACTTGTAACATTGTAACCTTGTAACATTATACGACCCAGTCTAGCTATGTGAACCTCCACCATTTGATAGAGTAATGGCAGAAACCTTCTGATTTTCATGATGGACAGCTCCACCTCCTGAAATAGGTGATAGCTGTGACCATAATCAGGCAAAGGTGTTGTGACCTTGGTTAGTTAAAAGTGGTGTTCTTTCAACTGGTGCCAAATCTATGGTTCTCTATTGAAAATTATTTTGTCAAATTTGTAAACATTTGTCTGATTGGAGATTAGGCCCTTTTTTAAAAACCGCATTGCTGGTAGTTTATCAATTCACTTGCAACAACAAATGAGAACAAATTAGAATAAACTTTTTTTTTATTTTGGTGTTGTTATACAGTATAATGTCTTTCCACTTATGCACAACATGCTGTGACCCTGGAAGCAAATATTTAGACATGTAGCTGTGAACCACAGTGCATTCGGGCTGTGAAGCATCTCTTTGTGTCCCGGGCTTGCTACCTTCCCAAGCCTCCCAGTCATTCAAATGGTAAACTAGCAGAACCAACTCTTAATTCATTGGGCAGCATTAACAGTCCTGTCCAGCTCTCAGCACTCCAGCCTGACTCACTGTTTCCCACTACTTTCTCCAAATAGAGAAAAGGAAAGCTTTTACCATGAGAAAAGAGACAGAGGAGAGTTAGAGAGCTGGATGTGGCACGCTTAATCTGTAATCTGTCTCTGCCATTTTTCTTCTAAGCATGTCCTATTCAGTTTTCTTGTTGTTGTGTCCGTCTTGTGTTCCACACAGCTTAAAAGTAGCACAATAAAAGAAGGAAAAGGAGTATTTTGCATTTCAAGTCGTAGAACTTCCTTTGAATCCTTTTTTCCCTTGATCACAATATTTTGTACACGTTATTTTTGCAGCTACAACACAAAATAATTGAAGATTCTGTTCCATTCCATTGAATCATGACATTTAACAGCAACATTTCCCTCAAAACATATTGGGAAAAAATAAATACTACACAATATTATTCATAGTAAACAGGAATGTTATCTGTCCTCTATGATCAAGCTTCTCTCAAAACAAGAAAAAAACAAGACGACAACTTTATTCAGACTCCTTTTTTATCCACATTATCTCCATTGCAAATGTGTCGCGACAATACTGCTAAGGGTACTTCCTACGATCTCATGAATGGTTGGGGGCCCTAAAGAACATCTGTCTACAAACACAAAGTGACTGCAGGAGATGTGCGTCTGGCATTCAACACCATATTGAGGGTTGAAACCCACGTTAATATCCGACAGCCTCTCGAACATCCACCTAATTACATCTGATTTCTCTCAGCACGCCCCTCGGCAATGTTTGAATTGAAGCATAAAGCAAAGACAAGTGCATGTGCTGCTCCGGTGGCTCAGGTTACGTGGAATGGGACAGAGAGCAGCAGGATGGGAGAGTCTCTGTGCAATCACTCAGTCATCTGCACTTGATTTGCATAGTGACTGTAGCCTTTAGAAACCCATATTAATATCCCTTGCCTGCCACTTCCTGCCAAATTCTGCACACTAGACTGGATTTGAATGATAATGGGTATGATGAGCAAAAAAGTTTTCAGTTGGGTTATTCTGGTTCCCAATGGTTCATGTTATTAAAATTGTCCTGATAAGTTCATGATTTTATTTTTTTTAAACTTTGTGTAGGTACACTTATGAGAAATCAACTTCTTTTACTGTAATGACTAGAAATCAATTAGTGAGCAGAAATATGCTCCATTACAGTGTGCTTGTCGATGATAATATATTTTGATTTGTGATAGAATTCTTTTCTTCCTTCTGTCGGTATCATATATAGACTATTTTACGCACCAAGAATTTGATAATACTGAGTGATGGGCCCGCATCTGAACTGTCATGGAAGTAATTATACTGTTAATAACGTTTGTCTGTGTATGCTTGTGTGTTTGTGCGTGTCAGGGGGCTTGACAGCCGAGGGCAGGCAGGCATGACATCAGATTTCTTCCTCCCTGCATAAGTAGCATTTGGGCAGGAGAAAGAGCGAGTGAGAGAGAGAAAGAGAGAGAGAGAGATCGGTAGGTGCTGACGTATGATTCATCCTTGGTTGGATGTGGTTTTGGTGAGCAATTAATTGTTGCATTGTATAAGACATTTATTTATCATTTCTGTTTTTTTCTCCCTAATGTGGGTTTCGTATACAACAACACACGCTCACTTAAAAGGCTGTATGGTTACGCCCCTAAATTGCTGTGTGTCGATATCAGTGGAATATAGTAATGCGGCTTGTCAGTTACCTGTTCCTCAATACAATTAGGGGTGATCTCTTGTATAAGGATGCATTGATGGTATGTGTAGAGTTTAGCTGGGATTGTGACTCTCGGGATGGAAATATCAGTTGGCTGTTCCTGTTACCAGACTGAGGGGAGGTGAAATGTGTAACAGTCAATGGATGAATGCTACTGACTTTGGCTAGACCTTAGGTTCTCATCTGGAACCACCAGCAGGTCAATAATAATATTGGCATCATTTACAGGGTCCTTTACTAAACTGAGCTTGTTAAAATTATGATTTTAGAATTCAACTCAAAGCAATGCTGTGACAAAGTATATCCAAAATTGGAAATAGAAAATCTGATATGATTGGCATACGATTGACGTTCAAACTTCAAAAATAGTATGTAATGTCATGTAAATATAACATTACGTTTCAACCCTTGATTCTTTTAGGTGATGCTCATTTTCTCTCTTTTTGGTTTCCCCCTTTACCATCAACAACCTTTTGATGCAATTTCAAAGTCTTTGTTTGTTGGGTGGATAGTGATTCTCAGAAAATGTTTTGGATTACATAATGTTTCTTGAGAGACACAAGCCCATTGATAACGTGGTTTGGTTAGAGAGCACTTGGCTGACAATAAGGTTTTCAAGCGCACTTTCTGTTTATTAGATGTCTTTAGTACAGACTGTCACTCAATATAATAAAATCTCAAAGAAATTGTGTTTCTGCACGAAAACGTTCACTGAGCACTGTCAAGATATTAACATCTACTAATTGCTTGACCAACGTTGCGTGTTTTCTATCGCATCTCCATCACAGATGCAAAACATGTTTCCACGGCATTGTGCGTAGTCTCGTTCCATCTAGTTTTCTCTGCTTACATGTAGAAGAGAATGCCTCACGTAAGAGGGGTGCTTCCAAGCTTTGGTGCAACGCAACGCCAGCACTCCTGCTACATTTGATGCTAAATGGAAAAATACAGTCTGGACTGGAAGGGATAGGATGGGTTCTTTGGTTAAAAGCTTTGGTATAGCAATCACCCACGCTAAGAGATGAGAAGGGAGTAAAATATGTGACAAAGTGAGCAAAGACA